AAGTCAAGGGCCATCATATCAGGATTCATGAACGGCTCAAACACCGGCACATTGGTAAGGCTTTGGTTTGTTAGTTAAGGGAAGTGAATGAGCCCAGAAAAACGTGTTCAGTCACCTGCCTGAGGACCTTGGATCTGATCAGCGTTCCAGGGGGATGGGTAATACTTTATTACTGCCCTAGGCTCATCCTAGAAGCCTTTATCTACATCCCTTCATTAATTTTATTGCCTAATTTTTTTTAAAATACTTTGACATCAGGGAGTTTTTTTAACTTTTTATTTATAATGGGACGTGTAGAAGCGAGCAGAAGGGCTAAGAATCTTGTTCAAGGTCACCGGGCATTTTCATGGCTAAGCCAGAATAAACCTTATGGGAGATGAGTTTCCAGTTCATTTCCTGGCACATTGAATCACACAATCACTTTGAATGTGGTAGTTATTGTAAATAATGACTTCTTCTTCCACATTTAAGAATGTGCCCTTCCTCACTGAAAGTTTATCTTTTGTATTGACTGTTACTGCTACCACCACCAAAAATATAGATAGATAGATAGATAGATAGATAGATAGATAGATAGATAGACAGAATAGATAGAAGCCAAGTATGTTTTTCTTAAAAAAAATACTGAATATTTTAACACATGATATACACTTCAAACATATTGCATATAAATAGTAAATAACCACATTTCCTGGTTAAGTCTAATAAATACATTTAACCCACGAAATAAAGTTACTAACTAATAAAACACGGAAATAGAAGAATTAGAGGATATCTTTTTGTCTCTGATACGTGAGAGGGAAATATGTGCTTTCCACAGCACTCTGGCTAAAACAGTTTCTAAATCATGGTTTCAGGGATGATTTTGTTTTTAAAGAGTGGCAGGAAAAGAGAAATTGTTAGTAATCTTCACCAGTAAGATGCAAGGTGAAATGTGAATGGTGGGTCGTGGAACCAACCAGCTAGTCTGAGAAAGCTCCTTCGGGGAGCGATGAGCTCCAGGCCCGCCAGGAGAGGGCGCTGCCGCTGCTGCTTGGGTCCTGGCGCTGCCTCAGTTGACCTGGGGTTCCTCCCTCTCGTGAAAGAGGTCCGCGGACCATGCGCAACCAGACGCGGAAATCTCACACTGATGAATCGAAGGCGGTTGGGGACGCCCCTAATTGGACCCGTCTGCCCTGACATCCTCGCACCAGTAGCCTGTCCCAAGACCCACAGTGACTGAGGAGAAATGAATTCTTGCTCACTCTCACTCTGATCCCAAAGAGAGACCCGGGAAGGCGCTTTTCATTTCTCAGCTGACGTTTGCGGAGAGCGCCCGAGGAAAAGCAGGCCTTAATGTTGCGAGGACTTCCGCGGGGAAAGGAGTGTTTTCATTTGCCAGGTTCCCTGGGTCCCCAGCTGAGGATTTCTGAAATAGGTTTTTAACGGTTTTTTCTCCCCCAATTCCCACTGCCCCAGGAAGCGTCCACGTGATGGAGGATGGCCGATCTGTTCGTCTGGCTGCTGAGGTTGGACTTTTGACCCGGAATATACAAATCCAGCCTGATA